ACATAGTTATGTGTAGTGTATATACTGTATATGGTAAGGCTATTCAGCACAAAGTAAGGTGTTTTTCAAAATCTAAATCACATCATCTTTATGAGACAGGCCATATGGCACACATCATTTTGGAATAGGTAGTCTCTCCTTCAGTGGCATCCTTGGCTTGTGTATTCATTTGCTATTTTCACTCTTATAAGCAGACGCACATTTTTTGTAAGATTATCTTTGCTGAAAACACTGTTGGTCTGAAGAGAAAGTATTAGAAAGGAAATTATTTATTGATCCCATGGCACTGGGTGTTTGTTTCCGTTAATTCAATGCCTCAGTAAACAGCCTATAGCACATTTAATAGAGTATATATCTTCCTGGTGTTTGCAACGTGTGGTAGTGCTAGGTTTTTAGCTTTCTATTTTTAGCTGCAGGTTCAATGACTATGAAATGTGCAAACACAGGGAGAAATGGCCCTGCTCGAGGGCCGCCGCCCCCAACCCCCTGCCTGCGCTCAGCCGTGAAGAGTTAAGCCGAAGGGAAGTGCGTGTGTGTATGTGTGTGTGAATGTGGAGAGTCTTGGGCAGAATGGCTGCAGTGAAAGTGAACATACCTCTGGCTGTTACAGCTGCTTGACCTGTGTGTGTATCACTGTGCATACATGCATCTGGTGCGGAGTGTTTGTGTCTATGTAGTCTATGAGGGAAGGAGCGGTATTACAGTTAACCATCAGTTAGTGAGTTCTGTCTTTGGGCTGCATCCCTAGATGGACTGCTAGCAGCCTCATGCTGTGTGATGTCTCTGCCAGTGTGACTAAAGAGAGAAAAAGGTGTAATGAATGAAACAACATGTTTCTGTTACTGTCACACTGTAGGAAGCAGCATGAGTACATTTTTCCTTGAATTCTGTCTGTTTCTAAGGTGTGAGAGATTGGACAATGTGTACAGTCATTTAGAATAATGTCCCATGAATCTAAATCTCATTTCAACCCTGATGTTGTTAACTTAGGCTACTCTTTCATACTAATAAAAACCATATAGCTCATATTCCACATGCTTCTCTATCAGTTGATAAAACTCTTTAAAACCTCTTGGGCCCATCCCTTCAAATCCCTTTGGATAATCTCAAAATGCACTGTCATCAAGCTCAAAACAAGGCTGTGTTTATTCTGCAGTTCATGTAATGTTTTGGACATATGAGGATTCAGCCCTGCAGTGACATTTTCCTTCCTTTTGCTCTTCCTGCCTAATGCACTGTATAAACATCCATTTTCATTCTGACTCTGTTCCAAAGTGCAAATCAGATCCAAGTATTGATGTCTGAGGCTCAGTGTGCTCAACATTTACTGGACCCATGAACGTTTTTGTTGTCCGTTTTTTTGTTGTTGTGTTTTTTGTTTGTTTTTTCGAATACCAATGTGCAATTAGGTATTCACTGTAGAGATAAAAGAGCTTGACTTGTGGAGTCCATGGGCTGAGAACATGGTTAATTATTATTGGCAGGCTGGAGAGGTTCATAGAAACTGACTCTAAGTTAATTGCAGTTTGGAGGGGTAAATATGTACGTCATGGGTGTGGCTTTATGTGAAGGAAATGGGCCGTTTCAGAGAGAGAAGGGCAGATTTCAATAAATAACCACACGTGAAACATAAACAGTTTTTTTTGTATCTGTGGGGCTTTTATTGCCTTTTATTGACAGTGGCAGCTGAAGGGTGACAGGTTATTTCTTCTTAGGATAATGTGAGAATGTATAAGTAGAATCAACTGATAACGTCAATGTGAAAACAAAATAGGCATTATCACCCATTAGCTCAATTATTGATTGTGGAAACTAGAACAGATTGGCTGATGTGTAGGATTCATCCATTGCTGAATTTAGAAATCTTTTTGTGGAACAAAAAACTCACTCAAGTAGAAATACTTTTGATGAGTTGGGAACTGAATTCAGATTTTTGGATTTCCTCTCGCAAGCACTTTTCTGTATTACTCCTTGGTATGCACACCATCTTCTGTCTTATATGTGCATATACTATATGTATAGGACCAATTAACCTTGCTTTCTTACTCTATTTGTTTTAGTCTTTCTTTTTGTCTTTTTCTCCACTCTTTGCTGCACTGTTAAAAATAATTTTAATTTGAAAACTTTGACTACTATTTCCTGAAGATTTGTTTTTATTTGCCCTATCCATGTGATAATTCCATTTTAATATAAATTCCTCAGACTAATTTTCATTTTAAGATATAACGTCAACCAAAGTACAGTTTTGATTTTTGACAGTATGCACAGTCTAGCAGGAAAGACTGGCCTTGGTGGTTTCCGGGTCTTAACTGATGACTCACGGTTCACTGCAGAGCTCTCACCATGACCCCAGTTAAAGAGGCAGCCATGGCCTCACTGGATACCCTCCTGTGGGACACATAAAGCACAATGTGTAGCCTCCATGCTTCCATTGTGTGTCAACACAGTTATAGCCTATCTGTAACATTGATAGCTGGTCATAAATGCCTCATGTGTCAATATCACATTGGCCAGCACATGCTGCCTGTGGTGTGCCTTTTTTTGGCCCTACATTTGAAATGTAACTACAATATTTTGTCATTTCTAGATGTTTGACACATCCAAATGTGGCTGTATGAAGTAAGGCAACTGTCCAAAGTGATTTTCGCTGTGTTTCCATGCTCTAGTGCAGACGTAGGAAGCACAGAACTCACTGTTCTGCTTGTTTCAGTGGTACTACACCTTTAAGAGGAAAGTGCTGCACATTCCTACAGTACTAATCCATGACGGGGATGGCAACCTTAATGCCTTTTTTCTGTCTACTTTTTTTCCCCAAAACATGCAATATCTAATTACCATTCAAAGTGTCAGTCTTCATGATCTTGCACACATTTCTTTTGTGTTGCATTGCCACTGCCTACTTTTTCCTTCTGCATTGTGTTATAGCAGTGTGACTAGCCAATAACCTGACACAAAATGGTTGTGGTTGAAAGCTTTAGTCATAATTTGCTGTGAGCTTCACCTGTAAATGTTAACTGGTGTGGTTACTGCTTATTCCAAACGTCAGTTTCATTTTCCTATTCATCCATGCACACAGAAACAGAGAGATACACCCTGTTCAGGACAGGATGGATATTGAAATCACAAGTAACTACCAAACACACTGTACTTGTTGATGCTATCTCACACTACTAGTCTGAGAGGATGTAGACAGCTGCCAGCTGGGAGCTTCACGAGGAGGGTGTGATGGCGTTGAGTTTCATGAAATCCCTCCCAGATTTTGCACAAGCACCCTTCTCTGATCAACCAGTAAGTCTCCAGCTCAGTGACAAGGACATGATCTCTCACTGACTTCCCACCCATGAACACTGACATGTTTGATGAGCTGGCCAGCGACACTAAAGGCTGGGGACTGAATCTTGACTTGTGTAATTGGACAACTGCTTCTTCTACTCCACCCAGGCACCCCATAAAAGAGTGTATTTTTATCTGTGTTCTAGTGAAAAGACTTTACATGGCATGATGCAGGTTGTCGACCGCTGTGATCATTGGTTGGACTGCTCCACAGCGGTTACTACTCTGTATCACCCTGTGCTGCAGGTCTAACCAGCCACTGAGATAAGCAGTTGTGGTTTGGGCTATGGCTACAAATCCAGCCTTTGAACCTCTGCAGCCAGTAACTGCACAGATCAACACAGTTTAAGCGAATTCAGTTAATCTAGAAAGAACATATCAGTCAATTTTTATTTGATTCAGTGCTTACTGAAAAAAAGGGCAAGCTATAGACCAACTGATGGTGGGTGAGGTAGCATTCAGATCCCGCTCACACTAATAACAGTAATGCACTGACTCAGCACTGGGATTGTAAAGGCGGGGAGTGGGGCGGGGTGGGGGAGGGCTCAGCTGCAGTAGCTCTTGGCCGCCCTACTGGCCGTCTGGCCCGTCAATCACTTGGCAAGCTCCTAGTCCTCTCAGGCACACTATTAGTTGCTCAGCGTTAACGAGACAGGTGTGGTCACCTGAGCAGGCCTGAGTGAGATTCACGTTTCAGTGTAACAGGTATGGATCGATGCCGTTTATACGAATAAAAAGACTTGAGACAGAATGCCGAGCTTAAACCATGTAGTGTGTGTGTTTGTCTGTGTACATGTGTGTTTATAGTGATCAGGGCTACTGTCTGCTCCTGGATTTATGAGGCCAATGTGGTGAGCTGGCTGCTGGGGCTGCAGTATAGAGCAGATAAAGGCACGACATCATAGAGCAGTAAAAACCTCCACTCTCCAGTCCTTGTACAGCATAACGGAAGGGAAATGTTGCTATTCTATACTTTGTCTTACCAAAGTGCATTGCCTGCAATTGCATTATCTCTACTTACTGTACCTTCATTAAAACGTGAGTAATCTCTGCAATCGTCAGTCATGTAGGCTCTGCACTGTTGCAGTTTGCTAACCAGAAACAAGAGTTTAAAAGTAATGTACTGCATCATAATAAATAAGAAAAATGAGCTGATGTGCAATATGGAAACCTTAGTGCATTTGATCTGTACTAAGAGATCTACCACTAAGAGTACTAAACGGGGTTATTTGGACTCACAGACTCAAAATGTATGATAATAAAAATAATAAACTGAACCCATGTGATGTTACCTTTCAATACTATAATATTATATGATAAAAGCTGCTGTATGTGTGAAATATTTCATCATTCACCTCATCAACATGCATTTTTAATAAGATTCATGAATATAGTCGCTGTGGGATGAAAACTCCTAACTCCAAATTCCTTTTAGAGTTTAAACTCATTTTCAAATCTAATTATTTATACCTTGTTTCTGAAAAGTTGACATTTTGGATGTAAAACGATTTTCACCCAGCAACAGCGATTTGCCTCACAGTTATGTTACAGCCTTATATAACACAAACACCCAAATCACTCCATTAGAGCTCATCATAGGATATATAAGATAACCTCAGCCCGGCAATCCTTCCAAACTATTAACACCTCCCTTTTCTTCCCTGCAGGTTATGTGGGTATGCAACTTGTGCCGAAAACAACAAGAAATCCTCACCAAATCGGGGGCGTGGTTCTACGGCTCGGGGCCTGGTCAGGTGCGGGGCGTGTTTGAGGGCGGGCCGCAGGGAAAGAAGGCCAAACTGCAGGACCCGTCCCTGTACCCCTACCAGGGAGCCTCAGGGGACTTGACACCAGCGTCAGACAGAAGCAGACCTCACGGCGGGCTCCTGCCCAGACAGGCGTCCCTTGACAACGGTTCGGGACTGAGGTACTCGGTACCCGGTGACGCACCCATAGACAGGTCAGTTCTATTTGAGAAAAAAAAGCATACACCTACTATATGCTCCATGTGAGCTATACTGAGTTGTTTTTATTATTCTGATTGTTTGATCAGCAAAGTTGAACATGATGTGACTCCATGAAGGTGCATGGATGTAACTGCATAAGAGCCTTTTAGCATTAGCACTGAGATATGTGGCCGTTGTATAAGTAGTGCAGAAAAGTGATTCAGCCTGGCATAAGAGCAATGTCTCCTAGCAAGCCAGTCAAGGTCCCTTATAAAACGGCTTGTACATGGAGCCCATGAGGCCTATAAAGGAGACAGAGACACAGATACTGTATCTGGCACTAACTCAGCAATTCTACAACAGTCATCCACCCACTCACTTTCTCTTCTTTACACACACACACACTCATACACACTCATACAGCACACAGCACATATCAACACAGATGGTTTGAGCTAGGATGGGGTGCTAGAAGGTGAAGGGTGTTTGCAAGAATTTAAACTTTCTCTTTGAGAGAAACTGCATTTAAACAACTGTTTTGTCGTCAGGAATATTTGTAGGCCAGTTCAGCCACTGCAAAGCTTGAAAATGAAACATTCTTAAGATGCTTTTGGAGTAGAAAAGTGAGAGCAGGCCTAATTGCAATTCAGAACACTGTGTTCCATGCACTAAATGCCCCCTCTGAGTAGCACACTCTCAGATGCTGACATCACAGACATGCTGTGCTTGGGAATCTTATATCCGGTTGCCTGTTTCTTGATACTGTTGTCAAATAAGGTAGTTACTTTGATGTCCACATGGGGGCTCCTTCTTCTTTCTTCTTCCAAAGGAAGGAAGAGAAGCTTATAGTCAGTATCTACACACTCTATAGACGTGTATTTCCACAGCAAAAAGGCAGAGAGCCATTTCAGAAAACATCTTTCATATCCATGTTTGTTCCTTCTCTGATCTAAGGTGACTCGACATTTGTTCAATGCAACCTTAGACTAGATGTGACTTTTATGTGGACATAACCAGCAAGTTAATTGTTTAGCCTTTCTCCCAGAATGTCTAAAATAGTTTTCAGTTCGGGAAGAACAAACCTGTGATCTGTAAAGTTAAGTGACTATGGTCATATTGGCAGTGGTGAAACTCTGGAAGGGAACACGCCCCCTGTTTCTCTCTTGTGTTACAGTAAGGCTGTGATATCAGGTTTTGTTTCCATAACCTTTGGTCCGTCGCAGCAAGTAGAGCCCACAGGCTAACAGATGTCTTTGTCTCTCTGCTGGTCCACTCTGCCCCTGAAATCAGACTTCCCAAGTGGAAGATGGGAAATGTAGGCTATGTGCTATACCATCCGGTGGAGAGCAAACCCAGCAGATAGCCTGAATCCAAGGGAGGGTGGCTCTGAGTTAGCACCAAGTCATATATATATACATTTTGTACAAGCACCTAAACATATACGGGTGGGGCAGTGGAACAGGAGGTGAATTTGACTAAATACCAATCCAGCCCATGCCCCTGTTCCTATTCTCTGCTGACCTTGTAAATGTATACTTGGAGGGCCACTTGCCACACTCTTCTAACACGGGGACAAACCAGCATGTACAAGCCTGTGCCCACAGTGTGTTTGGAGACACAACTCATTAGTTCTGTGTCCTCTCTAGGCCACTGCAACCTTGTATTTACTTATTATTATATTCAGAACTTTGAAAAATGGAGAGGTCCTGGGGGAAAATGGTTTGGTTTAATTGCCTGGTATTTTTCTCCAAATGGATGTTTTGATGAATATATCCAACATGCTACAGTACCAATGCTGAGGCCTTGCTGCAGTGGTCATGGGTTTGACTCCACCCGTTGCTGTGTGTCATCCCCTCTCCCTCCCCCTTTTCCTGTCACTCTTCAGCTTTCACTGTCAATTAAAGGCAATAACCCCCCAACCCCTTTGAAAAGAAAGAAAAAAATATCCAAATAACCTGCCCATTACCTATCAGCAGTGTTGTAATGAAGCTGCTGTGCAACTGTGACACATACTCAGAAACACTCCAAAATAGGCAGTTTTCTCTCCTGTCTTGGTAACATTTTGTTCCTGTGCTATCTTTGGTAAATCTCTCATCCATTATGTTTCTACACTGTGAATACATACTGAGCAGCAGTACAATAAAAAGCAGAGCATCATCTGTAACTGCAAATTGTAATCAAAGCTACACTATAAACCTTTAAGGGCAATGCAGGATAACAGTATTTTGTGTCTCAGTGCAACTACATTATCCATCTTCTCCTCAAATGACTGGCTGCTTTAAGGTGGTTATAATGGATGATCAGACTGACTATAGATCAGACTATAGATCAGACTGCTTCAAGCATTCAGTCATCCAGTCACATTCTGTTCCAGTCCAGGCCCCCACCACTGTATATTAATTGATTGCATGGCTAGAGAGGTGGAGATGGTACCGGGGAGCCATTCTCACTTTGGCATTGCCTACATTCGCAGTGACACAACAGGAAACTGGCTGTCTGAAAATTCTATGGATAATGCTGATGATGGATAGCAGAGAGTCCATAAATAGAACTCCCACTGCATAAGCACCAAAACCCACTTTCATTAATCTTAAAGAATGTTTAAATTAACTTCTGGATCTGTTCTGCTGAAGAAAGGAGGGGAAAAAGCTGACAGTCTATTTATAAGGAGAAATAACTTGGGAAGGCTTCTAATTTATCTTGGTCTCGGAGGTGTCATTTGAATGAACACACAGATACGCTGGGACAGCTGCAGTATTGGGTGATGCTGATGAAACAACAATGATTACATTGGGATTGGAACTTACTCACAGGTGGAAATTCTTCAGATTCTGCATTTTTAACACATTCAGCTACAGCAGCAGAGCCATTCAGCCTGCCAGAAATGGTAGAAGAGTAAGAGGAACATGTTCCTGACTGGCCCTTTAACATCCAGCCCAACCCAGTCCAGTGTAGAGTAGCCTTAAACAGTTCAGTTCATCATCGCTTATTCTGACCTAGTCTGTCTCAGTTCAGCCCTATGAACCCAAACAAGCCCTACCTTATGCATATATTCCATCAGCCAGTAATACTACACTGCCTTAAATAAGTCATTTGACCAAATAACTCACATTGACGTGGAGTTTAGTTTTTGTGATCTGATCATGCTGTGACACCCAAAGCTTTGCAATATAGTCCAGTATGAAAGAAGCACAGTCAGACAGTGAGAAAGATTTAAGACAAATCTTCAGTTTATTTTGGAAATGAGACCTAAAGTGAACATACCTGAAATATCTATTAGAATTGTCCTTTGCATTGTAAAACTACATGAGCGTACGACTACGGCAAGTGCACTCAGTTGGAATGATATCTCCAAATTCTTGAAAAAAACCCAAAAGATTTTTGTTTTTACTGTTAAATAAGTGGTTCTTATAATAAGATTAGTGTGAACTTATTTGAAATGTATTGCTTCTATAGTGGTCCTGAACACTCGCAAAGCTGGTTTCAGCATCTTCTTGCTCCCCAGATCACAGCAATAGGCATTCTTCACAGAAGACATTTTGACATGTCACAGCAGCAAAAACACACGAGTGCATAATAAAATTAAGGATGGCTGAATTCCATTTTGCTGCTTCAGTTGTCAAAGGGCTCACTGTCACACTGGTTTGCTGGGATACTTAAATGGAACAGAGCTGTCTTTAGCAACACCTGAACTTGTCTTACTGTGATAAGTCTGCCTAAAAAAGGCCTATTTATTTTGTAAGTAACATGTTATTGTAACCGATATGATGGCAGAAGGTTTTTTTTGATATTTTCATAGCCTGCTCATGTGTTGTAAATCATTTTTCTTGTACTGTAAAATATCCAGACTGTTCAAATTGATGCTGTGTGTCATGTAAGAGTTTTTATCTTTGCTTTAACATTTTGCTCTACCAAGGCCTAATTTTGAATTTTGGTAAGGATGAAGTCAACCCTGGTAGGGAGCATTGATTATAAGAGGCTGGATAACAACTGATGACGTTTTGACAAAAAAATTGCAGAGACAGAGATCTGTGAGCCATTATCATCACAATGACATTATCTGTCGTCCTTCTATACAATACAAGCAGTTGTGTTACATCCTCTTGATACAAGGCTGCAGGGCTATGACTGGATAACTACTTATTTGTAAGTAACTACTTAACTACTTAACTACTTCTAATACTAATACTTTATCTCTTTGAAGATCTAACACACAGGTCATCTCCCTGCTCAGGAAGTGGTCCTTTATACTTGCATATAGCAGAGCTCATTTATAGAAAACCTTCAGGAAGGTTTAGAATAGCTCCATGTTCATTCCATATAATGCTTTTGTATCTGCAGCTTTAAGGAACCCCTTGATCCACACTCATTTTTGGGATCTTTACAGTTACAAGCAGAAGCAGTGACTGAATAAAATGAAAAACAATGAATGAATAAATAAGTAACCCCTCGGGAAAACCCCCCTTTTATGTGTGCCCTTTCCTCACACTCTCGCTTTCAGAGGTATTATGACTGTCCTCTGTTATTATTGATGATGAGCTGATGCTCTGAAGCCAGATATAGAATATAAGGAAAAAAGAAAATCTGACGACAGCCTCGCCTCTCTCCCCTGTATTCTATCGTGGTCTATCTGCTGCTGTGCGCGTCCCAAAGAGTGCATGAGAGTGGATGGAGAGATATGGCAAAGAGTGCGCACGACTGCATATCAACCCCATAGTGTGCGTGTGTGTGCGTGTGTGTGTGTGTGTGCTTTTTTTGTGTGCGTGTGTTAGCGCGAGTGTGTGCTCTTCATAGGCGACGGGAAATATGAGTTGAATGTGAGGCAGCAGCTGATGCGCCGGTAAGGGATGCTGCTGCTGCTGCTGCTGCTGGCTGCCGTGTAGGATGCTTCTCCGCTCCTTCTCTCCTCCGGGCGCCCCTTCGCCTCTCCCTGCTCACCGAGAAGAGATTTTTGCTACAGCGAGCAGAAGAAAAGGCTCGTTACCGGCACCGGCACTACCTCGTTTTTCTCGCT